GCAGTGCAGTTGTGAGGCTCCCGGTGAGCTCAGCTTAGCTGCCCAGGATGCTAGCTTTAGGGCTGAAAACCCCTTTGTCAGGCTGAGGAAGTACCTGCAGTTGGTCCTGGATGGAAGAAATAGTAAAGAAGCCAGAGGCTGGCCTGGCCTGCAATGTAGACAAGAAAGCTGGTCAGTGAAAATGGAAATGGAGGCGTCAGGAGGGGAGGGACAGGCTGGGGTGGGAGCAGGGGGGAAAGGGGAATGTAGCAGCACAGGTAAAAGTACAGAGGTGCCTGGGGTGTCAGATGTCTGGCTGGTCGCAGGGTGCCAGAACTCCACTGCGTATATTGAGTCCATGAGTTTCTGTACCTACTACCTAGGAGGCTGACGAAGTGCAGTTCATAGGCCCAGCTCTGAAAAGTGGTTTGCATTGTAATTTGTTCCCTCTCAGGATCAGGCCTGAGAGACTGGAGGCAGAGTGGTTTTTTTGGTGAGGAATGTGCCCCCACAGGTAGTTGGGTTTTGTTGTCTTTGATAGATTCTGGTGCAGTTTGTGGGGGTACTGGAGATAGTTGGCAGGTTTTGTGTTTTGAGCTGTAGGAAGTTGACTTCAATTCTGGTGATGAGGTTAGGTGCTTATTTGGATGTACAAACCACTTTTCAGCAGATCGCTGCTGACTCTCACAGGCCTACTAATTAGTCAACTCTGCAGTAACTGTCTCATGTAGACGCACCCTGACTAAAGTAAACTGATCAATCTAGTGGAATGACCTGAAAAATTGAAATGCAGGTCTGCAAAAATGGGTACTAGTTTGGATCTTTTTCACCAGACAATGTCCTGTGAGAACAGAATAAGAAATAATTCAGGAAATGATTTTAATTCTTTTTTTAAAAAGTATTCTCATATGTAATCCCTTCATCCCTGTCACACTTCAGTCCTTTCCATCTCTGAGTGCTGAGAATTTCACACCCCTTTGCTTGACATAATTTCTATTCCCCCACAGCACATGTATGAAGCTGCATTGGTCTTCTAGGTGAGAACTGAAAGAACTTTCAAGTCTAAGAACTATGAATGGCCTAGGTTTTCATCCTGATCTTGCAAAATTCTGTTGAACATCAAAGCCAGTTATGTCTAGGCAGGAAACAGTGGCTTATTAGACAAAGATCCTGTTGCAGAAGGGCTAACCCAGGCACAGGAATTCCAGTTTCACCTAAGCTAAATACTCACTGTTGAGAATTGCCCAGATTTAACATGCCGAGCAGCTTTCGTGACTCCTGCCAAATTACAGAGTATAAATCAGGACAGAATTTGGACCAAGAGTTGTTCCTCCTCTTATCAGATCCTCAGATGAGACAGGCATATAGAGAATGAACACTTCAGAGCCGTTGACTTCTGAAGAAAGGAGAACTGGAAGATTCTTTTACTTAGTATTTTCATTATAGCAGTACCTGGAGAACCCATCTGAGTTTGGCTCCCATAATTCTAGTTGTTGTTCAGACATGTAGTGAGGCATGACCATAACTGATGTTCCTGAGGTCACATAGAAACTCTGTGACAGAGTCAGGGACTGGACCCAGATCTCCAGACCAGCTTATGAAGGAAGGGGGGTGTGTGTGTGTGTGTGTGTGTGTGTGTGTGTGTGTGTGTGTGTTGCAAGTAAAAGGTTATTGTAGCAAAGCTCTACTGCTTTTTAACCTCTCATTCATTCTTCCCAGGTGATAAAGGAAACTGAGAAACTGCTGAAATCACTGCCTTCCTCTTCCCTCTCACCTGAGGCCCTCAGGGTCTACCTGATTATGCCGGTCCTCTTACGGGGACAGGATGACCAATCTAATCAGCTCCTTGGCTTATTAGCAGAAGCCATCCTGAGACTCCAGCACAAAGACCTGCAGGTTCTAGGTAGGGTTTCAAAGGAATGCAACTGGGTCACTTGAATTCTTGAGTGTTTCAGACATAGGCGATGTGCAAGGAGGACATGGGGAAGGGTGGGAGGGTGGTTGGCGATCAGCTACTGGTGCCCCCCACCCCAGAGCCAGGAGGCACCAGTCGCCCATGGTTTCAGGATTGGGAGGTGAAGGAATGATTGAGCCACTTCACTGGGGCCAAGATCTCATCTCTGATATCTATATCCAAAAAAGAATTTGCTAGGGATAATCTGTCTGGAGCAGCTTACAGATAAAGGCATTACTCTGAAGTCTGTGATGTCATTAGTCTTAATACTTTTAAAGTCAAACACTTCATTTGACAACAAGATAGAATACTGCTTCATCAACAAGGGAGAAGTACTAGCATGCTGACTGGTGTAGAAACTCAACATCTGTCTTTCTTGCAGAATCCTTATGGTCAAATCTAGAAACACCTTTTTTCAAGGATCTTGTGAACCTATATCAAAGGCTTTGTAGAATCAATCTCTCTCACTTAACAATTCAAGCCAAAACATTTAAAGAATTGACCTATGGGCCACGGGTGGAGATGACCTCAAGAGTCCTACAGATTCTTTACCAGGTAGGAAAATATTTTAGCTCTGACAGGTTAGGAGATATTTCTGGAACATATAAGCTGTCTGAATTTCAGAGATGTCATAGACAATAAGGCTGTAAGGGACCTCATAAGATCATCGGATCCAGCCCCCTGCTCAAGGGACATGAAGTCAGCTAGGGTCAAAGGATTCCAACTAGATAAATGTCCAAATGTTTCTTGAATGTGTCCAGAGTAGGTGCTTGCACCACCTCTGGGAGGAGTTTGTTACAGGCCTTGGGGGCTCGGACAATAAAGAAGTTTTTCCTTATGTCCAGCCTAAAACTGTTTTGCAGGAGTTTGTGACTGTTGGACCTTGTCATTCCCTTGGGTGCTCTGGTGAACAGGTGTTTCCCCAAATCCTGATGCACACCCCTTATGTACTTATAGGCTGCCACCAGGTCACCCCTGAGCCTGCAGTTCTCCAGGCTGAAGAGTCCCATAGCTTGCAGCCTCTCTTCATAAGGCCTGTTTTCTTGCCCTCTGATCATGCACGTGGCTCTCCTCTGGACTCTTTCAAGCTTCTCTTTCACGTCCTTCCTAAATTGTGGAGCCCAGAATTGGACGTAGTACTCTAGCTGTGGCCTCACCAAGGCTGAGTACAGTGGGAGGATGACATCCTGGGTCTTGCTCAAGATGCATCGGTAGATGCAAGCCAGAGTTTTGTTTGCTTTGCCAGCTGCAGTAGTGCACTGGTAGCTCATTCATCTTGTGGTCAGTCATGACCCCCAAGTTTCTTTTGGTCATGGGTGCGAGCAAGCGTAGCACTGCCGAGCCTGTAAGTGTGATGCGGGTTTTTATTTCTGAGGTGGAGCACCTTGCATTTCTCCATATTGAATGCCATCAGGTTTTCATCCACCCACCTTGCAAGCCTATCCAGGTCGGCCTGGATCACCAGCCTATCCTCAAGTGTGGAGACTCTTCCCCAAAGTTTGGTGTTATCAGTGAATTTGGCCAATCTGCTTTTTACAACAATGTCCAGATCGTTTATGAAGACATTAAAGAGTACAGGTCTGTAACAGGGAACCCTAACCCTGTCACCAAAAAGCAGGTCTGCCCCTTTAAGGCCAGAACTTTCTGGGCATGGAGTGCTGGTAAGGAAAGGGTTAAATGCTGAACCTGGCCAGCTAGTCAGCTGACCAGAAGAGGCAGGACTATAAAAACCCGGGACAGAGTGGCAGTAAGGGGGACAGCAGCTGAAGGGGAAGGAGTGTCTCTGAGAGTTCCACAGAGAAGCTGGGTGAGTGGTCTAAAGGCAGGAACTACAAAGCTGGGGAGAGATGGCAGCCGCACCACAACAAGGACTGTAGCCGACGGTAGGGAGCTGAAGCACGAACCCTGTGAATGTAACCTGACCTGCTGCTTTGCTTGATCATATTGACTGGTGGCAGTTATTTTTTCCTTTTTGATTATTGACTAACATCAGTGGCTGGGGTGAGGCTATTAGGGGATGGAGGAGGCCTCATAGGGGACCCATGGCAGTGTGGGGACCCCGGTGCCAGAGGGGGCGCAGCATTTTGGGGTACACCAACCCCAGCACCAGAGAGGGTGCAGCACTTTGCAGGGCTGTGAACGGCCCAGGTGCCAGTGAGGTGCAGAGCGAGACAGGGCCGCAGAGAGCCCGAGCGCCATTGAGGCGCAGTGCAAGACAGGGCCATGGAGAGCCCGAGTGCCAGTGAGGCGCAGTGTGGGACAGGGCCACGGAGAGCCTGAGGACCAGGGGGCCCAATTGTAACAAGGCCCAACACTGGAAAAGGTAGAGCCTCAGAGTCAAACTCTTTGGTGGGTTTTGGACGGGGAGGCCTAGCTAGAGAAATACAGGGGTCAGGACCATGTAGGCGAAAGATCCCAACATACAAAATACAATAGGCAGTCTCCCGCTTGCAAGAACATCAACAATAATTTCCATCAAGACATGGCAGGCGAGTAGAGGGCGGGACATAAGAGCTCCAAAGAAGACTCCAACGGCACCCCACATAAGGCGCAGATTAACAGGGAAGACGGCACTGGGGAGGACGACCTGTTACAAGGTCCAAGAACGGAGCCTTGGGGGACACCACTAGTCACTAGGGCTGTGTGAAGCTTTGGGTGCTGATTCGATTCGGAGGAGATTCGGCCCGATTCAGCAGCCGAAACTCTGAATCCAAATCAAATCAAGGGACCAATTAAAAGGTCTGAATCGATTTGGGCAGTCCCCGCTCACTTCCCCAGGGAGCTGGACCCAGACTCTGTGCTGGTAAGTAGGGGGCTGGAGGAGGGGGCAGAGGACCATGGGCCTGGCCCCAATTCTTGGTTCTTTAAAAAAAAGCCCCCACTCACCTGCTGCTGCAGTGGCCATCAGGGCTTCTGGGGGCTCATTGCAGAGCCCATCCTCCCTGTAGCACAGGGCAGTGGAGATTGCCCCCCTGCCTGGCAGGAGCCCATGAGTTTGGGGCTTTTTAATTTTTTTTAAAGAGCCAGGAGCTGGGGCAGGCAGGGCAGCTATGGGGGGGTGGGGGAGTTGGGAGAGCAGGTGGGCTCGTAGCTAACCCCCCCCCACCCCACCTGGCAGCAGCTGGTTAGTGGGATCTTTTTTTTAAAGAGCTGGGAGATGGGGCCAGGCAGGGCAGCCATTGATTGGGGTGGGAGAGCAGATGGGGAATGGGGCCTATCCAATTCGGAGATTTGGCCACTGCTGAATCAGCCGAATCTCTGAATCAGATTCAGCCAAATCGATTTGAGACAGTGATTCGAATCACTGACCCCTGAATTGGCCAAATCCTAATCCGAAGCAAATTGGCCAAATCCTAATCCGAAGCAAATACTAGCCGCTTCGCACAGGCCTCCTAGTCAATAGTGCCATGTTGATTCAGTTTCATCAAATACCACCCTCTGGGTCCAACCTCGGAGCAAGTTCCCCAGCCATCGGACTGTGGAGTAGTCAAGGCCGCAGTTGCCTGATTTTTTTTTTTTTTCTTCTTCCCATGAAGACACCATGGGACACCAGGTCAAAGGCTTTTTTAAAGTCCAAATATATGACATCAACCTCTTCCCTTTTGTACAGGTGATACATCACCTGGTCATAAAAGGAAATGAGATTGGTCAAGCAAGACCTATCTGCAACAAACCCGTGCTGACTATGCTTCAGAATGCTGTCTTCTATAAGCCTGTCAAGAATGGTTTCTTTGATAATTTGATTTTTTTTTTTTTCTTCTTCCCATGAAGACACCATGGGACACCAGGTCAAAGGCTTTTTTAAAGTCCAAATATATGACATCAACCTCTTCCCTTTTGTACAGGTGATACATCACCTGGTCATAAAAGGAAATGAGATTGGTCAAGCAAGACCTATCTGCAACAAACCCGTGCTGACTATGCTTCAGAATGCTGTCTTCTATAAGCCTGTCAAGAATGGTTTCTTTGATAATTTTTTCCAAAATCTTCCCAGGGATTGAGGTCAAACTGACTGGCCTGTAGTTTCCCAGATCTTCTTTCCTCCCTTTCTTGAAGATGAGCACCACATTGGCCCTCTTCCAATCTTCAGGTACTTCACCTGAGCACCACGAGTTCTCGAATATCCTCGCCAGTGCCTGTGCTATAATGGCTGCCAGTTCCTTTAGCACTCTTAGGTGCAACCAATCTGGACTAGCTGATTTATAGGGGTCCAGCCTCTCAAGATGCTCCCTCACAAGATCCATGGCAATGGTGGGCATATATTCATCTTCCTTCTCATTCATCCACTCAGGAACACAGGCCCTTGTCTGTCAACTTGAGTCTCTTCAACCCCTTGGCAGCATAGTGCTAGAGGAATTGTATTACCATGGGCTTCCCTGACCATCTTTACATGTCTCAAGCCTAATGTCTGACCTGTGCCTGAGTGATTTCCTCTAAGAAGATACTAAGCCTTTTAAAGCCCCTGTGAGGAGCAGCTTCTGTTGGATCAAGAGAAGAAAGGGGCATACCAAGTAGCCACTGACTGTGGCAGAGCATGTGGATGTGGTCTTTCACTCCATCTTGTGCCCCAGCACATATTGGTACTGGGAGCATTACATTCAGCCCATTCCCACTGAATTTTTCTCTCCGTTGGTCTGACATTGGATTTCGGGGAGAGGAGAAGCTGGAGGACATGGGTTATTACTGCACTCTGAACCTCCAGCTGCACAGCATAAGTGCTGCTGTGTAATCCCTCCATGGCAAGGCCTAGATTTGCTTTAAAAAGATCCATTAATTCTTCCTCCATCTCTCTTTTTACTGACTTGTTCACAGTTTCTTCCATCCCTTGGCAGTGGGAAGGCAAAGTCAGGATGGAATGGTTTCCCGTCAGGATGGAATGGTTTCCCATTCCAGCCATTATCATATTTAATTCAGGCATATTCTGTTTGGTATTTGATAACATAAATGTGTGCCCTCTCCTTGTATTTGCTCCCTCAAGCAAAAGGCCTTGTTTTGCCCATTGTCCAGTGTAGATAGAATTTTTCTCCCTTAGGTTATCTACATAGCAAGTTCATTACCTTAGTTCAAGACATGCCATGATATATTAGGCCTGATTTTCACTTTGGCAGCAAGAATGGACTTAATGTGGATGGAAGCATATCTTCACTGCCAGCAGGGCCAGACACAGGCATGGGTGAACTGGGCAGCCACAAAGGGCCCAGACAGAAAAGGGGCCTGAAAATGGTCATTTTTTTTCCATTGTCCAATTATTATAATTATCTCTGGGGAAGTGGGGACCAATACTAAAAGTTTGCCTGGTGTTGCCAGGAGTCTATGTACAGTGCTGACTGCCAGAGTGCTATAAAGGCATCTAGTGTCCCTGAGAATTGACCTCATAGAATTCTTAGGTTTAATATATACAGTTTTCTGTGATTCTCAGCTGTCTGGTTTTATATTTATAGTACTCTTAAACTTCTCATGCTGAAGCTCTGTTGCTTTGTAAAAAGTGCTGTTGTACATTGCTTGTGTGGTTCTCTTGTACATATCCTTGCTCATAGTCTCCCGGCTATTCCTGTTAATGCAGGTGAATTGCAAAGCCGGGTTCAAAGTACAAGAAAACAACTTCTATGTACCCGAAATGAAAGAGATTTGGCAGCAAGATTGGTGTATTGATGCGTTCTTAGTAAGTATAAAATCTTTCTTTAGAATCACCATATGTAGTCCTTTCCATTGTACTGTTTTTTTGAGAGGTAAACATAGTGAGGGGGACAAATGCATGGCTGAAGTCTAGCAGCTCAACAGGGTCACCTGTACACTTACAAACAGTAGTGTAACTTGGGGTGGGCAAGTGAGGCAGCCAGCCCCAAGCAGCAACTTAGTGGGGGTGGGTGGGGAGGGGGGTCTCCCACTAAGAATGGCAGCCCCCTGGGGAGTCCATGCCATGGCAACAGCAGCAGTCCTGCACTGTGCAACAGCCAGGTGCAGGGATCCCATGCTGCTGCTGTAGCAGCAACAACCAGGGCAGACAGACCATACCACCACAGAACCAGGGACTTTGAGCCCCTGGAGCAGGTAAAATTCCTGTCCCTCCCTCCTGCTTGGCATCCTCTTGCTTCTGCTGCTTGTGGCACATGCCCCCTGCCCTTGCTCCCCACCTGCTCCCCAGCAGGAGTTTGCCTAAGGTGCAAACCCAGCTAGTTACGCCTCTGGTTAGAAACACTGGATTAGGAATTATGACTCAGGAAGAAATAGCCGTGGAAAGGACCTCTTGCATTATTAAATGCAATTCACTATTAGTACAGACAACCATCTCACATAATCCCAGTCATAAATGTAATAAACTGCATTATCGAAATGAGTCAAAGCAGACACTAAATAACTTTTGGTTGTAGTTTTTGCTTGTTCATCTTATAAACTAGTGTGAGGTTCTTTTTTGCTTGCTTAGTTGCTTGTTATATTGTGACACCTTGAATTTGATTATTATTTTTAAAATACAAAATATCTATTTTGGGATATTTTCTAAATGCACAAATAATAATAAAAACCATTCTGCTGCATGTGTGTGATGATATACCCTTGGTTCACATGTTCATTCTGTTAGTAGTAGGTAAGTCATTCTGTTGCTGCAGAGCTTAGGGGTAGCTGGAAAAGGAAAAGCACCATTAAAAGTCCGTTTCTATTTTATTAGAATGAAGATGAGTTTGGGAGACTAGTTGCTTCAAAGTCCACGGAAATGGTAAATAATATGTTTATATCCAAGTGAAAATAGGAGTCTGATTTTTATTGAAGTCCAGCAAAACTATGATACTCATGCTCCTGGACTTTACAAGAGCACTCAATCATCTGAAAAGACAGCTGCCAGAGACAGTACTGTGCAGAGCCATAACAAATGCAGAGTAGAGTAGTGCAGAATGTGCGGCTGGCATGCTGAACCTGCCAGCACTCAGACCCAAACATCTGCTTAGCTTGATTATAATTTAGCTGGCCTAGCCACATGTCCTGGTCTAAATACTCCTTAAATCAATTTAGTTTTCACCAGGGTTTGAGACTGACTGGTTCCTCCAGTATCTTCATGGTGTTGGCTACAAATGTCCAACTCGGGATCCTTAAAATTCTGGTTAATTAGGCAGATTGAAACACTGTAATGAAGTCAAATCATAAACCTTGGGGCTGGTACACACGTACACACACACACACACACACACACACACACACACACACACACACACACACAAGCCAAGTTACAAGAGTCGGGTATACCTATCCCACAGGCGCTGGAGTCTGCCATCGATGGCCAGTTGAGGCTTCTTCCAGCGTGGTGTTATCCTCCAGAAGGGGGTCACTAGCTGGTCCTTCTGGCTGGACAGGTCGGGTGCTGGTCAAGTTGGAGATCAAGAGGGTGCTGCTGAGGGTCACTTTTCACTGCTTTTTATCTGTCCGTGGCGGACTTTGGTGACTCCCCAGTTTCAGGTTTGCCCAATCCAGGGGTCGTTGACCCTCGTGGTACTTCTGCCTCAGTGGCTACTGGATGGGCACTGTTCCCCCCAGGGGTCGTCCGCATGTACGTGCAGGTTTAGGAGTCCGTTGATGAATTTTGAATAGGACTCTGGGAGTGGTCAATCTGGAGATATTCAGCCCAAAAGTTGGTCCCTGGCATTGATTAACTCAGACCAGGGCTTCTAGCCCTTGTACAGTGAAGTTTAGAGAATTCTCGGTTGCTACATTGTCTCCTATTGATTTCTTCCGTTGGTTGGTCTGCGGTTTCCCTAGGTGTTAATTGCCGCCTGCTACTGTGTTACGCATTCAATCACTGATTCACTGGCTCTTTCAGGGGCCCACCTGATACAGAGAAGCGGCAGTTTGATTCCTGCCCTTGTTAACATTGTTACAATGTATAACTTACTTCTGAAACTAAACACATTTAGTTGGAAGGTGAGGAGTATAAAATATAAGCTACAAGAGTAATGCCATGGCACACAAATAGATAAAAATACCAAAATACAAGGGGAGATGCAAAATGCACACATACAAACTTTAAAACACAATTCCTTATCTTAAAGTGAAAGAAAGAGGAAGGCAGAAAAGGTAGAAGAAGAGAAACATATCCAGAGAGGGGAGAGCAAATGCAGGCAAGAGGAAAAGGGGGCTTTCTGCTACAATGGTGTTCCCAAGAAACAGTTACTGCCCCTTCCAATTCCTACAAGGGACATTGGGTAGGAGGTAGCTTGTCTAACAGGTTAGCAGAAGCAGGAGGAATATTGTAGCATGTTGTACAAAATCGAATAGTAAAATTCAGCTGTAACATGGTGTGTGTTCAACATCCCTTTAATATTTTCCTTTCTTACCTGTGTTATAGCAGTTAAATGATAGCTCGTGCAGAGAATGGTCTTCTTCCTATTGACACATCTGGGTGCCTTTTCATTATTAACTTACTAGGAGCAGAGACAGGTTCTTAGGCCGTGGGTAGACAAAACGAGAGGCGCGTGTGCACGACACTTTAAAGCGGGCTAAATGCTTTTGCACCGCTTTAATGGTGTTGGTGTTTGCACACCTTGGTGGCATATTGCACATTAATTCCAGCCACTGTAGGAAATTCGGCAGCATAATCAGCCTTAAATGACTTGGGGCGCAGCAAACTAAAACTCCTTTGAGGACTTTTAGTTGGCTGCCCCTACAGGCACAGAGCGAAACACTGGGCTCCATGGCTCTGCAGGAAGCCCTGCAAGCAGCCTGGCAGCGACCTGGGAAAGCAGGCTTCACCCAAGAAAAGCACCGAGCTTGATCTTTTTTTTTTTTTTTTTTTTTCCGCCCCCTGGAGCCTGCCTGCCTGCCTTCCTGAGTTGCGCGGGGACCTGGTGCTTCCCTCCACGGCTGCGGTGCCCCCAGGACTGCCTGAGCCAGATGCCTGTGGGCGAGGGGTACCGCTTCTGTGGAGGGAAGCACCAGTCCCCATCCTGCCCCCCCTCAGCCCAGGGACCACTCCGCCCACCGGCAGCTTGCCCTCCCCTCCCTGATGAGAGGCAGGTAAGGTGTGTGGATGAAAGGGGGGTTTAATCAGCCATAAATTGAAGCGGTATTTTTTAAACCCCTCCACTTCAATTTAGGCCCCCTGTTTTGTCTACAAGTTCCCTTCGTCACAGGGCATTAAACTGTAGTCAGCAGCAACATACACCCACAGTGGTAGCAAATGCCCTAATTGGCAGAATTTCAAATTAGGAATCCATATGAACACTGTCTGTTTCTAGACCTTTCTATAGACTGCTGTCTGACCTCCACTATCTTTACAAGGATAATGGTGTGAAATTTATATCCCTGCCTTATTTTGGATGATTAAGTCTTAAGATGATTTTGACCGGTTAACCACAGAGATCAAGATGTTGTAACTTGTTGCAGCAGACTGGCCCTTGTTTATTTCTAAACAATTTGGGAAGCACACTTGATTGGATCTTTCTCCAGTACCTTACCTCAGAAATAATCAGATAGGCATAAACACTGTAAAAGAATCATAGAAAATTAGAGTTGGAAGTAGAGGTGCACTGGTACATCGGTTGCACACCAGATCGGCATCAATAAAAGGAAAATTAACATCATCAGTTTTGTTTGGCTGGTTTAGCTGATAATGTTCAACATTAAATATAATATGCCTTCTGGCCAGGGCCCCTGGACGCCGTGTGCCTGCGCACACCTGCATGCATGCACATGGCCAGGAATGCAGCATGGAGAGCAGTACCCTGTAGGCACCTCTGTGGAGAGGAAGGAGCATGGGGGAGGGAAGAGGCGTGGGGGGTGCAGATCAAGGCCCCATGGTGAGGGAGGGAGTGGGGCAGGGGCTGGGGCTGGAAATGGGACGGAGCCATGGGCAACTCATCCAGGGGGCACAGAGGGCTTGGGAGTGGGGGCACTGCTGCATGTGCCCCGCAGGGGAGGCATGGGGGAGCATGTGTCCCCCCCAGATTTGTGCACAGGGTAGATGTAGGCTACCCACTGGCTTGGGGCTATCTGCTCTGCTGCCTCTTGCCCTGGGAGCCCTGCACCAGCCGTGCATCCCCTACTCACACAGCAGCAGTGGGGGTGGCAAGTTGTGCCTCCTACTGCCGAGCAGGCGGAACGCTTGGACAGGACAAGACTCCCAGCACAAAGACAGCAGGGCAGACAGCCCCGAGCCTGCTGCGAGCAGCCCGCGTCTGCTCTCACTGTGGTCGGCTCTTCTCTGGTTAAAAGTGTCCCTGCATTTAAAAATGGTGGCAGCAGCACTTGAACTAAAGTTCATTTGGCAAGCTTTAATTCAAGCACCCCACTGCCATTTTTAAGCACTGGTAGGCTGATCCCCTGGATGAGCTGACCGCAGACCTGTCCCACTCCCCACCCCGGTTCTGGGTCCCATTCACTGCCCCACTCCCTCCCTCACCGTGGGGGCCTCAGTCTGCACCCCTCATATCCCTTCCCCTCCACAGACTTACCTGCATGTAGCTGCTCACCACACTGCCTGGCTGCATTCCTGTAAATCAGTTATCAGGTGGATATCAGCCGATATGCCTGGTGAATAATCAGCTATCAGTATTGGCCAAGAAAATCTTTATCAGTGCACCCCTAGTTGGAAGGGACCTCAGGAGGTCATCTAGTCCAGTGATTCTCAATCTTTTTGTAATGTTGACCCATTTGTAAACATAGATAGCCAGTCCTCACCCAGTGCCCCTCACGCCTGACCTGTTGCCACCAGGCCCCAGCCCTCCAGTGTGTGGGACAGGGATGGCCCAAGCAGCCCCTTGCAGTCTGGAACTCTGCCAGCCTGTAAGGGAAAAGCCACAGGTTCCCACATTTTTCTCCTTTAAAGGAGAATCCATTTTTAGAGTCTGTTGATCCATTTTTAAAATGTTTTCATGGCCCTTTCTTGTGACCCACTTTTGGGCTGTGACCCACAGGTTGAGAAACACTGATCTAGTCCAACCCCCTGCTCAAAGCAGGACCATGTCCAGCAATATTATCCCAGCCAAGGCTTTGTCTATCCAGGTCTTAAAAACCTCCAAGGATGGAACTTCCACCATCTCTCTGGGTAACCTGTTCCAGTGTTTTACTACCCTCCTAGTGAGAAAATTCTTCCTAATATCTAACCTAAACTTCCCTTGCTGCAACTTGAGACTGTTGCTCCTTGTTCTGTCATCTGTCACCACTGAGAACAGTCTAGCTCCATCCTCTTTCGAACCTCCTTTCAGGTAGTTGAATGCTGCTATTAAATTCCCCCCTCAGTCTTTTCTTCTCTAGACTAAATAAGCCCAATTCCATCAGTCTTTCCTCAGAAGTCATGTGCCCCAGCCCCCTTACCATTTTTGTTGCCCTCTGCTGGCTCTCTCCAATATGTCCACATCCTTTCTGTAGTAGGGGCCCAAAACTGGACACAGAACTCCAGGTGTGGCCTCACCAGTGCAGAATACAGAAAAAATCACTTCCCTCAATCTGATGGCAATGCTCCTACTAATTAAGCCCAGCTAGCCTGCTACAAGGGTGCACTGCTGGCTCATATATTCATCTTATTGTCCACTGTAACCCCTAGATCCTTTTCTACAGAACCGACTGCCCAGCCAGTCAGCCCCCAGCCTATATTGGTGCATGGGATTGCTTTGTCCTAAGCGCAGGACTTTGCACTTGTCCTTGTTGAATATGTGGCACCATTTAGATCTTTCCAGACCAGATGTGCTTGCAAATTTGCTTTAGAACTTACCTATGAAGTGGTTCCCTTTTCAAAGACTTGGGTTGTATCCTGCATGTTTTCTAGTCTGGGTGAAATCCGTAAAAACACGTTAATGTGATCGTATTTACAACCTATGCTCACTGTCCACTGTAATTGGTTATTTTAATGTACTTTATAATAATGACTACCACTACAATTTGAGAGCATTGAAAAAGAAACCTCATTTGTGAAGGTTCCTTTTGGGAAGCTACCTTGATACTGGTATCTTCTAATGTCAACATTTGTCATATTAAAAGCTCCTAATCCATCTTGTCATTTCAGATGATTTTACAGAAGCTGACAAAGTACCCATGCATCTTTGACATGAAAGATAAGATTAAGGCTTACAGGGTGGCCTGTCAGTGGGTAGGTACTGCTGAAGTCATGTTTTTTATTATTAAAAATAAAGGTATTAAAAGATTATTAAAAATAAAGTTTATAAAACACAGCTTTTGGGGTTTTTCCCCCTTAGGTACACTTGTCAAGACCCACTCATCCATTTGTTTTGCACGTTAGAAGAGAACACCTGGTGAATGATACCTTGCAGACTCTAAGGATCAGAGTGCCTACAATGTATGGGGAACCTTTAAAAGTAAGAAATTAAGGTTTATTATCTGGTTAGCTCTGAGTGTACTGTCCTGGATTGCTTCAGCCCCTCAATATAATTAACAACCAACAATGAAATCTTTTTTCAGAATCCAGCAGCATTTAAAATCCAGTCAAAAACTAGATTAATAGATTCATAGATTGTAAGGCTGGAAGTGGCCTTGGAAGATCATTGGGTCCAGCCCCTTGCACCAAGCAGGAAAGATAACTGGGGTCAAGGACCCTAGCAAGGTGATCATCCAGTCTCCTCTTGAAGATTTCCAGAGTAGGCAATTGCACCACCTCTGGAGGGAGCTTATTCCACAGTCTGGACACCCTGACAGTGAAGAAGTTTTTCCTAATGTTGAGCCTGAAACGGTGTTCTAGGAGTTTGTGGCCATTACTCCTGGTTTTCCCTAAGGGTGCCCTGGTGAACAGTTGTTCACCAAGCCCTTGATGTACTCCCCTAATGTAGTGGTAAGCTGCTACTAAGTCCCCTCTCAGCCTTCGATTGATGCATGCCAGAGTGTTATTTGCCCTACTGGCTACAGCGTCACACTGCCAGCTCATATTCATATTGTGGTCTGTTATTACCCCCCAGGACCCTTTCATTCATGGTGCTGGTCAGTTTGGTGCCACCAAGCCTGTAGGTGTGCAGGGGGTTGTTCATTCCCAGGTGGAGCACTTTACATTTCTCAACGTTGAACTTCATTTGGTTCCGATCCACCTGACTTGCTAGCCTGTCTAGATCCACCTTTATCTGTAGCCTATCTTCGAGCATGACCACGCTCCCCCATAACACAGTGTGATCCGCAAACTTGGCCAGTGAGCTCTTCACCCCACATCCAAATCATTGATAAAGATGTTGAAAAGTACTGGACCAAACACTGACCTCTGCAAGACACCTCTGGCTACTTCTTGCCAGGATGACACAGATCCATCCATTAGGACTCTCTGGGTCCTACCCTGCACCCAGTTTCTTACCCACCTGACTGTCTCAGAGTTAAGCCCACAATCCTCCAATTTTCTTGCAAGGACACTGTGGGATACCAGATTAAAGGCTTTTTGGAAGTCAAGGTATAGAATGTCAACTTGTCCAGGTGGCAAGTTACCTGGTCATAAAAGAAGATGAGGTTGGTAAGGCAAGACCTGAGCATGACAAAGCCATGCTGGCTGTCATTCAGACTCCTACCTTCTGCAAGCTTATCACGGATAGACTCCTTGATGAATTTTTCCAGGATTTTCCCTGGAATAGAAGTTAGGCTAATTGGCCTATAGTTACCTGGGTCCTTCCTCCACCCCTTCTTGTGGATGGACACAACATTGGTCCTCTTCCAGTCCTCAGGGACCTCTCCAGAGCACCATGATTTGGCAGAGTTTTGCCAGGGGTTCCACGATGACTTCAGCCAGCTCTTTCAGTACTCTTGGATGAAGTTCATCCAGTCCTGCTGATTTATATATGCATAATTTTTTTTAATTGCTCACACAGCAATTCTATGGTGATAGCAGGAAGGCGGTCATTCCTACCCCGCTCATTCTGTACTCTCCCTGGCATGATTTTCCACTTGGCTGTGAAAGGCCAAGGCAAAGTAATCATTTAGGAGTTCAGTTTTCTCCTGAGTGCTGGTAACCAGCTGTTCTGAGTTGCTGAGCAATGGCTTCACACTCCCATTTGTTTTCCTCCTCTTCCCTATGTAACTGAAGAAGGACTTCTTGTTGTCCTTGATTCCCGTTGCTAATTTAAATTCAGTTACTGCTTTTGCCTTTCTAACAAGTGTGGGCCATTGTATAGTCCTCCTTGGAGCTTCCATTGTTTATAAACCTCTTTCTTAAGAGGACCATGATTTCCCTGTTTAGCCAAAAGGGCTTCCCAGACCACCTGCTACCTTTTCTCCACGTGGGACTGGACTTGCTTTGTGCTTCAAGGATCGTATCCTTAAGGAATGGCCATTCTTCATGCACACCTTTCACTTCTAAAGGAGAGAGAAAGTACTGTGCCTGCTACTTAAAAGCACGTTCCATGTAGGCTTAGGGCAAATAACAAAAAGCAGCCAGCAAAAGACAGAGTGACTTATTTTTATTATGAAATCACTTTGAAAGATAGGACTGGTTAGCTAATTTGCTAATGGATAACCAAGTGTTGCTTCTTTCATGGTTCTGCAGTGGTTGCCTAGAGGTGAAATGACAGGTGATGAACAAAACACTAATCTTTGCCAAAAAGTCTTCTTCACAATTGGATATAGGCCAATGGCTGACTTTTACAAGGACTGAACTGCTGTCTTACTTCTTGTAGATGGTCCCTGCACAACAAAAATGAGGTGTATTGGCGTCACGGCATGAGCATGACAATATGTAGCTAAATAGCACGTTTTAAGTCCTACCTGTCTTGATCAAAAAACAAGTATCCTAGAAGAACAAGGAGATGATTGAGGAGTAAGGCCCTACTTTTGAAGTGAGATATGGTTGAAGAATGGTAATGGGGCTCTGCCCTGTCTCAGGGATGCACCTACACCTTGCTGCCAGATCAGGAGCTACACACTTGCCTCATGTTATAGAAGCGCTGCTTGGCGGAGTACTCTGGCTCTTGTCTCTGGTCTCAGACTCATCTCACCAAGACCTGGTTAATGCCTGAACTCTTGTTGCCCTATTTACTTCCTTTCGGCAGTCACCCATCTTCCCCTGTCTTAAGGTACTGATCCGGCTGCCCCACAACAGTAAGTGTCCACAATACTCTGCCTATGGTTTTGTTGCTTCACTGAGCAGCGTATCAAAAGATAGGAAAGTCTGCTCAGATTAGAGTTATCTGGATTGTGTTTTTGCCTAAAGCAGTGGGCGCATCAGTGGGTCAGATGCCCAATCCTGACTTGTTCCCAGTACTTCATCTCCTCAATCAGTGTAAAGCTAGCAAGGAGTGTTGGAGGGCATGGTTGAGCCTGTTGCCTTATTGTCAGCTGTTATAGGCCCCTGCCAGCTGGAATAAATTAGAGCAGCTGCCAAACTACTATTTCATGGCACTTCTTGCCTGAATAGTTGTGCCAGGCCTGCTAATGTAGGGGACAATCATATTGGAGTGACATGGATGACCCACCTTGTTTTTTTTCTCTCTAAAATAAAAGGTGTGCTGTGTTGGATGTGCATGAATGACTGCCCTCAAAACATGGCTGCACTGATCCTAATAATTCTAAAGCTCACAGACAGGTTTGCTGTTGCACAGTGTTTTGATTTATTAAACTGCATTTTCGTAGCACAGTGACAGAAGCAGTTCATGAATAAATCTGCTCAAACTAGCGAGGCACCTAAAGATGGACACTGCCATCTTTAAAGAGCAACCCACATTACTGTTTATTAAACAACCTGGTTAAACTATATCTCAGTGCATAAAGTAATTCAAGGCAAAAATGAACACCCACTGTATAATATGCTTTTAGACTATTACTGTGCACCTCTGGATTTGGAGAGACAAGGGCAAATGCACTTAATTTTCTTTCCTGGCAGAAATTAAACAGTCATACACAAAGTTCTCTATAGAAGATTCGTGTGAAGTGCCAGGAGGAGGGTGATGCCAGAATATAGAACTCTTGGTTCAGAGATGATACCTTTTATTAGACCAACTAAGGAATCTAAAATAAAATGTCTTTTTCTGGCTCAGGGAAAATTAAAGATGGTAAAAAGTAGGTAGGAAATAAACTTCATTTTTGCACAGAGGGAGTTGAGGATGGACATCTGGTCCCTCAGGGTCCATGCAATTGAGAGAGAGCGAGGGAGGAAGAGACTATTCCAGTTACATGGAACATTATATTAGTGAACAGCTAAAATAAGCTACACAACTACTGCAGAGAGGCCCTGTGATCAATGAGACCACTGGGCAGTGCCCTCAGGCTGTCTGCCTGCCTTAGTTGTGTCTAAAAAGTTTAATGCCCATCCAGGTCCACAGGCGGAAGAACATGTACACAGGGATTGTAACAGGAAGCAGCAGACTGTAGAAACATAAGCTGCTGGTGCTGGTGCAGCCCTGTGGGAAGTTTTCATCCATGGTGGCTGAATTAAACAGGCCAGCCAAGGACAAACACTGTCAGCACAGGGACATGATTACTCCTCTTGTGTGAGCCTTCTGGTCTCTGGGTTTGCTTTCTGGGAAAGTGCTATCTAGCTCTGCTTTGACTCCTCGCTCATTGGATGGGGAAGCTGTCTTGATCTTCCTCACTGCCTGTAGTATCACGTTACATACCATCCACCGTGGGGGTATGCGATGCCCAGGTCTTCATTGATCAGCTCATTGGTGGATTCTTTGTACTTGCATGAAAAATGAATGGGTCAGGGCTGTGAACACAAGGAGGGGAGACATGCACATGTGTGTGCGTGCGCACGTGTGTGCTTGTGTGCACATGGACACACGTGTGCACATACATATGGATGTATGTTTGTGCATGGGGCATGCGTGTGTGCAGACGTGTGCACATGCGACATGCAACTGTGCATGTGTGTGCATATAGATGCATGTATATGGACACGTGTGCATGTGCATATGGGCTCATGTGCTCATGGCCTTATGCATGCATGTGTGGGGGGCAGTGTGTCTTCTTGCAGGCAGGATCTAGAAAAGGTCTGCCTTGTCCCCTACCCCATAACCAGGGCCTGATGCACTGTGCCTATATGCATGGAGAGAGGAGCAGGGGAGCCCCACCTCCTACCTCCATACAACACAGTTGGCCATTAGCAGCTGTGAAACTGTCAGCAATGAGTGTGTTTTGGAGGTCTGTGCAATTGTTTGTAAATGCTATTTTTGATTAGGGTGCTGCCTGGTCTTAATCCAGAACCAGTTTTTCAAATTGCAAATGAAAGTCCTACTTCAGGGAATCACTGGGGATGCCAGACCATATTCCTGAAACTTGGGATCATCCCAGAAAATCCAAGACCATTGGTCACTTCAAGAGCAATGGACTGAATGCAGAAAGGTGTGCATAGTGTAGGGAGAGAAGCTACCTAAATGTATTAAAGATGTCTGTGAGGAAATCTCCTTGGATCCTTTTAGACTTTTTGGCTTATGTGACTGCCGTATCAGTCTTCTGTAAGATTTGCTAATTCATCTTTAATGATATAATATAATGGGCCATAAAACTGATATCTACGTTTAGTCCTTGGTTCTTAGTGTTCTGCCAGCTTATAGATGTTTACAATTTTATCATGTCTGTACCATCATGGCTAAAATATCACTCTGACACTACCAAAAGAACAAGTAATTTGTTCTTATCCCCATAACAACAAGAAGGAAGTCTAGCTGTATTCAGCAAGTCACATTCTGGGAGTACAACATTTTGTTCAGAAGAGTAAAAAAATACAACTTACATGGTCAAGGCACAGTATAATATATAAAAGAACAATTTAAAATGCTGACTATTTAGTGCATCAAATTAAAATGTGCTAACACCTGTAGGTTTCCAATAGATAGCATCACACCATTTATAAATTAAGGTTTAAGGTTAACTTTGTAGACACTTACGGTGATGTGTCTTTAGCATTCTGGAATGGCCAGTGTCTCCAACCCATTCTTCTCCTCCAAAAAGATGCTAGACCAACAACTTTGGAAATACAGTTTTATGCTTATCCATACAGCAGGAAAATTTTCACAGAAAGCCACAAAGCAGATTTGCCCCTGGGGTAGTCATTTGCATGTGAGTGTAAAACACCAGGCTAGAGGGGTGACATCCTGGCTCCATTCAAGGTAGTGTGAGTTTTGTTCCATCTTGGACTGATCATGAAATTGGCTTGAAGAAAAGTTTGTACAATAATACCTTTAGAGTCTTTGTATATGCCTCCTGGCTTTGGAGACTTTAGGGTTTACATTTTCAAACTGACCTTTCCAAGTCACAAAGCAAGCTACTTCTTTTTGTGCAATGAAGGCTGAGATTCATGAGACTCCAGAATCTGGGACTTTAAGAAAAACACCAAATGCTATGAACCTTGTAGGAGAGTTATGACAGCTGGACAACACTATGATGCAATTTGTACCTCTTTCTTTTTTCCATCTACTCCATTCCATGATGGTTTAGGGTAGACACACTGAAGAGGCCCCGACTTCATGCTGAATCTCATTATGTTAGTCCATAATGTGTTCTCATCACAGGAACTGGGCCCAACGTAACAGTCTAGTGCTGAGAATTTACTGTGTAAACCAGTACAGGTTATTGTTTAAATGTGGAAATTATAGTAGCTGTTTCTGGGGTTATTCAGGTGAAGTTTCATGGTGAACCAGGAATAGATGGCGGTGGTTTGTCTCGAGAGTTCTTCCGGATCATTACCAAGGAGCTATGTGAACCAAAAGCACAGATATTCAGACGTTTTGAACGCTCCAGTCTGATTTGGTTCCCCAGCCAGGTATGGGTTCAGATGATCCTACTTTGTTACCACTTTACAAAAAAAAATTCCGTATAGCTGGCCTTTCCTCTAATAACTTTGAGCCCACGTCACATTTGTTAATATTTATTTCCCCTTCAGTGAGGAATGCTGCAATTTGCCTTGGAGTCATTGTCTAGTTAGCACCGGGCAAGCTCAGTATCCAGCAAGGGTCTCAACAGCATGCAGACTCCTAGGAAAAATAATTCCTAGCTCCTGTTTTAAATAGGATCTTATAGAAGTCTTTGCCTATGCAGCTCATGCCCTGCTTGGCCAAAGAGAAGGGATTCTTGATGGCTGCGTAAGGACTTAGTAGCAGACCATTGAGTTTCACTCTAGTTTCCACACACCCAATCTCCTGTTCTAAACCAAAGCTCCTCCCCACTATATTAAAGTCCTTCAAATATTCATTTTCTTTTGTTTTGTTTCAAAATCTAGGTATCAGGACACCAAGACATCTTTCACCTGATTGGGATCCTCTCTGGAATGGCTCTGTTTAACTTTCACAAAGTTCCCTTTCCTTTCCCATTGGCTCTGTACAAGAAGATGCTGGATACCCCACCGACTCTGGAAGATTTAAAAGAGCTGTCCCCCACAGAAGGGAGGTATGACAAAAATGTATATATCCATAGCTTTTGGCTATAAAATAAAAGTTGAGCCAACAGTTTTGGAACCATAATCAGAATCCTGTTTATCCATTGAGCAGGAATTTGCACAGCAAGCCACAATGCAGATTTGTCCTTTTGTGTACACATTTGCATGTGGGCGTAAAACATTACGGATTTAATTTCTGCAGGTATCAGTACTCCACCAGGTTCAGTCTAAGCAGTGACTTCTTGTGCTCCAAAGTGCTCCTCAAGTATGCTGTGCTGCTCTGAACAGCTTGTTCCCTAGACTGGAAACACTGTAGCTGCATCTGTTCAGTGCCACGGGCAGGTTAGTTAGGGGAGAGCAGGTTATCTGGCAACATCGCTTAGCAGCACTAATTAGTTAGCCTGAAATACTCAGCACATGTAGCCACCTGAAGCAGTGCAGCCTGCCTGAGGATGTGGCTCTGGAGTCTGGTAAATGTACTGTTGTAGATATGGTGTAGCCATCCACTGCTGAATTGAGGTCATCCAAGCACAAGCCTGGGAGCCCATGTGCTGAGAGATGGAGACCTGGACAGGAGTTGGGTTCCTCCAGCTCCATTGATGGAACTGCCTCCTGTGCCCTGGGGTAGGACAGTAAGGGTGAGAGTGATCCCTTGTGACTCCTTGACAGATGGGTAATTCTCTAGTGGTTGGAGACTGAGGGGAAAACCTTGCCTTTACTGAGGGCAGTGGCAAAACTCCCATTGGCTTAAATGGAGTCAGGATTTCCCCCAAAACAGTCATTTGCAGAGTAGGGGGATGTTGACTGCCACCACTGCAAGTGGATAGGTAAAGAATAGTTTTGACTATCAGTTAGACCTGCCTGAAACAATGTCTCCCCTCTCCTAATAGTTTTCTGCTGTATGGGTTATCTGCTTCCGCTGTGTTTTCACTGCGGCCACCTTGCATAATCAGCAATGCAGCACTTCCTTATGCTTTGATCATGTCAGATCTAAGGAGCAAGGCTTTTGTTGGGCTAGTCCTTGCCTAGGAGATTTCAGACTGGTGTTATATGAAGTAGTGCTGGTAGCAACTTGGTAAATAGCCTTCCTTATCTCAGGCCCATGCTGAACCAATGTCTCATTGTGATGTTCACAGAAGATATGTTTCTAGTTCTGGCTGTGATGGATGACTGCAACTGTGATCCCTTTAAGCTTATTTGGCAGCTTATTTTGTTTATAAGAGTATCCCACTGGTCCATAAGGCACTGTCCTTAAACGTTATAAATTCAGCAGTTGAAGGCCTTGGTTTTGCACCTGTTCACACATGAGTAACATCCATGGGATTATTCAGTTGTTTAAAGTCATTCACATACACAATGCACCCAGAGTTGGGGCGCAAGGTCTGGAGGATGCAGACACATTAAAAGTTTACACTGAAGTAATTTCCCCTAGATTTTACTCCACAGTAAATTTACTTTGTAGTAAGGAGCAGACTTGCAATGCAGTCTCTGAAGCTGCCTGAAGTAGGTGCAATTATAACACCTGACCACTGTACGGCAGGGAAGTCAATTTGCCTTAAGCAAACAGCAACTCCAAGAGAAATTGCTTTGTGTAGCAGACACACAACATGTACACCAAAGTCACTCCTTTGCAGGTGACTTTTGACTTCCTCAAAGTTAACTTTACACTAGAAAAATGCACTGCCTCTGAAGTAAATGCTGTATGTCATTTGTCCACTCCACTTTTCCTCGGCAGTAAATTGAGACTCTTCTGGAGTAAAAATCTCATGTGACTCAACACTTATCCTCCAATGAGTTGAGTGAAAATGTACCTACATGAAATGCCACTGAAGTCAGTAATCATGCAGGGAGCCTGCTATGTGGATCTCACTGCAGAATAAGCTTGCAGGGCAATCGCAGATCATATGGCACAAAGGGGAATATATGAACAAGACTGCAATATGTTTATACACATCTAATCGGCCAGATTAGGAAAACACTTTCCCCAAAACATTCTGCTGCAGGAACTAACCTTTATTGTGTCTGTTTCTTGTTCCTTGTCTACTAGCAATCTTCAGAAAGTGCTGGATGAAGAATATGATGACATTCTGGAACAAATGATGTTGGATTTCACAGTAAGACATTGTCTTCCTATTTACAGGTCCAACTCTATAAACACTTAGACAAAGAAGTAGATTTACTCATGTGAGTCTTAGAAAGGTTAAATGTAGGTGGCCCAAGAGAAATGCTTAAGCCACACATGGGAGTAAGGCAGTTAACATGAGGCCTATCCACCTTTGACTCCCCAGAGCGAATGACCTTTTACAGCAAGGAAACACAGGGTTGCTTTTGTGATCTCTTTTATTGGAACAACTGTATAGTTGGGAGAGAAGTTAGGCAAGCTGTTGGGCACCAAGTACTCTTCGTTAGGTAACCCCGTGGCAGGCAACGAATTTCAAAACCCTTCATGCTGTAGTGGGGTTGGAGTGGTGTTGTAGCTATGATGATTCAGGAAATGTGAGAAGCAAGGGGTTTTGTGGTGATATCTTTTATCAAACTGTACATTTGGGAGAGATGTTAGGCAGGCTTTTGGGTACAAAGTGCCCTTCCTTAGGTCTGCAGAAAAAAACAGACAGTCTGAACTAAATACAAGATAAAAACAATGGCTGGTGTTTAGCTCTGCGTGCAAATTAAATCTAAGTTAAACACCAGACAAAACAACGGCATGTCTGTTTCCACACATGCAAAAGAAAACAGGTACCCAGAGGAGTGGAGGAGAGCTGCAAACAGGAGCAGAGAGAGACTGTTAGAAGTCACTTCAAAGCAAAAGAAGAGAGAATCAACTTATGTAAAGCTTGGTGGGAGGGCAGCAGGACAGGCCCTATGAGGAGAGACTGAAGGACCTGAACCTGTTCAGCCTCAGCAAGAGGAGGCTGAGGGGGGACCTGGTGGCTGCCTAGAAGATCATCAGGGGGGATCAACAGCAAATAGGCAGAGCTCTTTTCTCCCCAGCACCACCTGGGGTGACGAGGAACAATGGTCATAAGCTGATGGAGAATAGGTTTAGGTTGGAGATCAGAAGGCAATATTTTACAGTTAGG